GCCGGCACCGCCAGCTAGCGCGCCCACCTGCGCGATCGTAACGAGAATGAGAGGCCGAAGTAGAGACACCCATCAGTAATATAGTGTCGAACGTGTGCATGGTCGGCCTATCGGCCCCCTGAAACCGTTTTTTCAGATACCGGAGCAAAGGTCCCCGGGACCAGTAGCTCCGACAGTGCAGGTCATACCACCGCAGGCAGAGACGAATCAAAGGTACTCCGCATCGTGCCGTGGCTACCCATACCCAGGCTCTTGGAAACAACCCCGGCCAGCCTGCAAAAAAAACATCCCTCAAAGTAACCAGGCATATAGGCCGTAGCAAAATCACCCCATAACCGAGACCAGACCAAAAAAGAACACTCGACACCCTATCATACACCAGGCAGCGTCGAACCATCGGACCAGGGGTGCGCCGCGGCTAACCATACCCTGCCCTTTGAAAAAGGAGGTCATCCCCCAAAGTAGCCAGGCATAAAGGCACTAGCCAAATCACCCCATAACCGAGATAAAGCAAAAAAGAATACTATTAAATCAGGGGTGTGCCGTGGCTATCCATACCCAGCCCTTTGAAAAAATCGGCCAACCTGCAGAAAAAAGGGGGGTCATACCCGAAGATTGCACGCGTCTATGCTACTTCAAAAAAAAAAAAAAAACAGGGCTACACCAAAAAAAGAGAGACCCGGTAAGGGGTACGTTGCGGAAAAAGACCACAACCCCCCCTTTTTTTAACCACTTCCTAACAGGAGCCCAAGCGGCCCACAATCAAACCTTCTGGAGATGAGATCTTAGCAGCAAACCTAAAAAAAACCCTCCGAACCAACTTGCCCGGGTAACCACGCATCAACAGCTCCATCCTCACGGCTAAAAAGGCTTGAATCCTACCAAGCCTATCGGAGGACCAACGGTGAATCCGAAAAAGAGTGTTGAGGATTGCTCCAATTTTGGCCTGCTTAGACCCGTAGGACGAGAAATCCTGGAAGGACCCGAACGCCAGACATCCATCCTTCCAAAGACACTCAACATTTTTTACCAGGGCAACCGTTCTGACCGACGCACCACATCTCTGCAATTCGACCCCAGCGCACTTCCACTCAGGTTGGCCGTCGTGAGTCCGTAAAAGACACAGAATGTCCCCATAGCATGTAGAGAACAAAGACAAGCATCCTTGATCTCTGGCCATACCC